CACGCCAATTCAATAAAACTGATTGATTTGTTCACTTTTCTTTTCTGCGTAATTCATGTGTTTTGCCTGTAAACCTTCAAACCTAAATACCTTCAGAAAACAAGAACAAAATGAGACATGTGTTGGCAGTACCAGCCATCTACAAGAGCATATAATCAAGGATCTTTTATTAACGTTGGAATGAGCAACGGGTTTTGCTTGGGCCCTCCGTCAGGACAAATTAAATGAAAATGTCCAATATGCCAAGTGCTAAAGAAGAGAGAGTTAATTTCTTTATTAAGATTAGCACCTATGTGTGTGTAAAAACAAGTTATACTTGTGGAAATATTAATAGACACAAGAGAAATACACTTACAAAAAAAAAAGTTGAAGATAACCTTTTTCTCTTTTTACTCATTGCAAGTGGCAACAAAATTGAAGAATTTCTTCTGTTTCTGTTTCAGTTACTGGTTGGGTTTCAACCTATATATTTCATTGGTTATCATTTGCACCTGTTTGGTATAGTTGTGTAATCATATACATGATATGCCTACAAAATTCCTGACTTTGTGCAAGTGTACCTAGAAGAATGAATGCTGTTTGGTGGTCACACCAAATATTGATTTGATTTAGATTGTTCTTAACATTTTTGAAAGTATTCTTACCTTACAGCATTTTCCCACAACTGCCTAAAACATTGCATCCTTGCCCCCCTCCCCTAAAATCTATGTCTATGTTACCTATCAATGTGCATGTCATTTTTCTCCCTGGATCCTAGTCCTCATGAGCTGAATAGCCTAGAGTACAGAAGGGTGAGAGTGCGTGGACAGTACGACCACTCACAGGAGCTGTATATTCTGCCCCGCTCCCCAGTCGACCCAGAGAAAGAGGCCAGAGAGGCAGGCAGGCTGGCTTCAAGCGGAGAGACCGGTGCAAATGTCATCACTCCATTTCACTGCACTGACCTGGGTGAGACAACAGATACAATGCTGTGGCACTGGGTTAACTCTGTAGTGTAATACTAAGTTCTTGGTCATCTTACAACTAACATCTTCTCTGCCTTCATCTGCAGCATCACAATCCTGGTGAACAGAGGATATGTTCCAAGGCAGAAGATACGACCAGAGACCAGGACGAAGGGACAGGTTAGTATCTCAGATGATGTAACACATCAGTATGTTCTTTTAAGAGGACTCCACTGCTTTAGCATTACACTCTTATAGCATTGTCAGAGTCACATTGGACAGTAAAAAAATTACCCACAATGCAACACGATTTACAAGACTTCAGGTGTGGTAACCTTACCATGTAATGTCTCAGCTACAACAAACCTCACAAAACCATTTATATGAAGGGAAACATCAGTACCTTAAGCTCCTTCAGTCATGCCTACATTATTTCTTTGTAACTTATTCAGACGGATTTTACAAAATGTAGCGCTTCTGTGCAGGTGGAAGGTGAGGTGGAGGTGGTTGGGGTCGTTAGGCTGACAGAGACTCGCAAACCCTTTGTACCAAACAATGATGTGGAGAGAAACCGCTGGCATTACAGAGACCTGGAGGCCATGTCCAGTGTCACTGGAGCTGAGCCCATCTTCATTGATGCCGACTTTGGTAAGAGGATCTCTGACTCAACTGCATCATATTGAATATCACATTAAATACACGACTGATTCATACACTTAATAATTATTCTACAGGTGAGCATAAAGAAAAGGTTATGATGCACAAGTAAATTAAAGTGTATTGTATCACGCAGGCAGCACCATTCCTGGTGGACCAATAGGTGGACAGACTAGAGTCACGTTGAGGAATGAACACATGCAGTACATAGTGACATGGTAAGTAGGAACTTTCTGGATGAACTACACTTCTGAGACAGACTGTCTAAAGCTGCCAAAACTTGTGTGTATATATATATATTTATTTATTTCACAACTTTTTTTTTTTTTTTCCAATCTTTTAGGTATGGTTTGTGTGCAGCTACCTCCTACATGTGGTTTGCCAAGTTTGTCAAGAAGATTTAAGTGTGATCTGGTTACATGCAATGAAATAATTATACAAATGAACTGAAATGTCGCAAACTTCTCATTTACTGGATGTACTTTATTAGCTCCAGCCTATATGTAAATAGCTGTGGATTATTCTCCTGAAATGTAATTAATAAAAAATAGAATTTGGCTCGTTCTTTTCTTTTACATGTTCCCATCGGTTTATGGAACACCAGTAAGTAACAAGAAAAAATATTCTCATACGTAATCGTCCTGTAGAAGTGTGCATTGCAATGATCACTTATAAATGTGAGTTGGTCTACAGTGAACAAGACATTGAACTGGGAAACTGTTTCACAGCTGGAGACCTACATTCAGTAAAACTCATGGATTCTCAGTTCACTGAATAGACCAACTCTAGTCATCCACAGCATTGATTCAAGTCAATGGTTTCTACACTTTAATTTCTAAAGTTAACAATCTCAATAGTTTGTTACATTTCCTTTCAAATGTTTAAATCTATTAAGTGCTGCTGCCTTTGCCATGAGTTGCTTTGTAAAATTAAACACCACACACTCCTGTATCCCAACTCAACCATTTCTAATTTAGATAACCCATCAGTAGATCAACTGTCACTGTAGTCTTATCGCTTGTACCCTACAGAACATGCATCAGAGTACTGCAATGTAATTTTCATCACTTGCAGTTAAACGCCATTTTGATTTCTGACAGTGTTAAATCTACAGTTGCAACTTTGTTCCAAAACACTACATTTGGTTGTAACAATAACAGTCTCACTCTATTAGGACATAAATTTATTTTATTCCAAACAATTTAACCAAGCTTGGTTGCCAGTTCCTTGGCCTTTGCCTTCTCCAGCTTGGAGATGCGGGCTGTGGATTTTGGGCCCATGATGCCGCCTCCCCAGTGACGACGGATCTGGAAAACAAGGTTAATTGGAAATGGTTAAATTGGTGCAACTTGTTCTTTGATATGAATATGCAATTTACTCATGCAGAGACATGACTGAAATTACTGCTCACCTCTTCATATCTGTCGTTGTAGTTGGTCTTGATGGCTTCCACAAGCTTGGCAAGTGCACCTTTATCCTCACTGAGAAAGAACAAATCTAGTTAATACAATGCTGACACCATTCAGAGATGGAGCTGCAAAACCTTACTGATTCAAATCAACCATGTCAACTTTATAAAGAGGATAATGTAGATATGTTGGTTTAAAAGTTTAATTATTGGAAATTGCTGCAGAAATGCCCTAATAATATTTTGAAGAGTGTATTTCAAGACGTGAACTTGATGTGAGACAGGTTACTACACTAGAGTAAGATTCCAAAATGTTTTAGCCAGGTATGAAGATCCAGCTGCGTTACTAGACGAGAAGCCAAAAATCTTATTTCGTCTAACACTTTGACATAGCACAGCTCAGTCTGTATGCATACTTACGGGTTTGTCTGTGTGAAGGCAACTGAAGTGCATGTCTTTCTGTGCACCAGTCTGCCCAGTCTAGCCTTGCCCTTGACGATACAGTATGGGACACCCATCTTGCGGCAAAGAGCTGGCAGGAAGACGACGAGCTATAAAAGCAGGGGAACCCCCAGGAGTTAATATTTGTATACTAGGAACACATTTTTAACTTCATCTAAGAGAATAAAATTACCAAAAAGTGAGATGACCACAATAACTGTTGTGGTCAAAACATGTATTCTGGGATTATGGTCTCTGCTCAGGGTTAAAAAGCTCGTGTGTTTGATCCACATAGAGGATTCAGGTGAAGAAATTCATACATCATTGCCAGTGACCACTTTCTAGATTGAACTGTACCCAATGTGTCAAGTTCCACTGCTGCCACAATAATGACGGACACGTACCTCAATTGGATCCACATCATGGGCAATGATCACCAGCTGGGCCTTCTTGCTCTCAACCAGAGAAGTGACAGTGTTCACACCTGTAGGAAAGGGAACATTTTTAATTAACCTCTAATCAGTAAACACCCTGCCCTAACATAATTTGTCATTTTGGCCAATGCTCAGGGTTAAAAAGCTCAAAAAACATCAGGGCATGTTTCAGGTGAAGAAATTCAAGTCATCATTGCATTCAAGCCAAGTTGGATACGACTGCACAATTAACTTTAAAATAATTTCTCAATGGAACTCAAATGAATTGAACTAAGTTGTTATCCATCAATTACACCATCTTAGTTCTTTCCTGCTCACCTGCACGGAGGACAGGGGGCCTCTTGGTAGGAGTATCTCCCTTTCCAGCTGCCTTCTGCTCAGCGCGGGCCAGCAGCCTCTGTTTCTTCTCCTGCTTGGTCTCTGGCCTGTACTTGTGGGCCAGCTTGAACAGCTGTGTGGCTAGAGGGGGAAGACAGTACATTACAAATTAACGTAAACTTGCATGGTTTTGTTTTACAGCATGACAAGTAAACAGTATTTCAAGTTACTGCATCAGTGATCTTGGTGGAATGTCAGCACGGCTATTCAGATAGCAAATATTCTTTCACATCATTTGCAAATATTATGGTACTCTGAAGGATCCATTAACCATTTAAAAAAAAAACACCCCCACAGCTTTCTTTTGCAGGCAGCCATTCAAAAAAAGCACCAACTAAAAAACAAGGTGCAACCCTTGTACCAGAAACTTCCGAAGCTTACCGGTCTGGCGGTCAAGAGCCTGAGTGAACTGGTTGATTGCAGGGGGAACCTTCAGACGCTTGTAGAGGATGGAGCGCTGCCTCTGCAGGCGGATGTAACGGGGCCATTTCACAAAGCGTGTCAAATCACGCTTGGGCTGTATATCCTGGCCTGTGGGAGAAGACAAATATTTAGCATTTGACCACAAACTAAAGTATTTTGTTTTTCCAGTCTACCGTGCATCAGCGATCTTGGTGGGAAAATTGTCATCAGTGTTGTTAAGATAGCAAATATTCGTTTACATCATCTGCACCATTAAAATCCCCAGATCTCCCAATTCACCACCTAGGGCTACTTACCGATGCCAAAGTTCTTTGGCCTCTTCTCGAACAGGGGGTTGACTACTTTTTTGGCCTCATGTTTCTTGGCCACAGAAGGGGCCGGTGCCACCTTCTTCCCCTTAGCCTTCTTTCCCTTAGGCTGTTGAGAAGAAAACAGTGTTGGGGAGCATTAGCAAACATTACTTTGTCACCAAGAAAGTTAATGTCTGAATCTTCAGCTGTGCCCAAATTAATGCTTCTAGCATCACCCTTGTTAAAGCAAATACATCTCAAATGTTTTGCCCAAATGAGAAACAGCACTTTTATGGATTTTACCATAACATGATCATGAATGCTACCTGTACTGTTCTAATTTTCCAGCATGCCTGCTTTAGCATCCACTGCTTGGCATGCAGGTTAGCCTCGCTCCATACCTAACGTTACTATTGTCTATTTTCTAAATTACATAAAGTATTAGAGTCTGGAGACCTTTTGGTTGTCAGTGTCGTCAAGCCAAAAAATATAACTAAAAACTCAAAAGGCATTACGATGACTCAAGCTAGCCAAATCCCCATGTTGATCAGCCCACACTGCTGTTAGCTCGCCATACAAACCGAATTCAAGACGACGTAACGTTAGCTAGCTTAGCTGTTCCTACTACTAAAAGTTGTAGTTTACAAACCAAGACATTTTAACATTAGCTACCAAGCTACCAAACACGCTAAAGCATGACTAAATTAGAGGTACGACTGCTAACTCTAATGTCACCATTTGTGCAAACAAGCAGCGTTCGGGCCCATTAACGTTAGCTAAATACTAATACTTCTGTACCACTACAACACGTTATAAGTCCCGTTGTAACTTACTTCCATTAGTCACAATGTTAATTTAACTTACGATGCGAATACTAACCGTTTACATTAGTGCGGAAAATAAAAAAATACCAGCGCAAACCTCCTCCTTAAATCAAGCATGTTCAACAACGTTAGCTTTAGCCCCCTGATAGCTACTCGTACCGGCTACACTCGGGTCAGTTTGACCAAATTTTGTCAAAATCCACAAAACATCGACGCTCAATATCGACATTATATACACGAACAGGTTTCAAAGACTTCATATGTACATTCTATGATGTAAGAATAACCATGTATACAGGGATGCAAGCAGATACAACGGCTTGAATATTTTCTCAGAAGAATCAGCTATGTACCCACCATGTCGGTTCAGGCAGAAAGGAATACCTAGGTATTCTGGGTAGCGTAAATACCGCGAGGCTTGCACCGTGGTGGCGTGGCTTCAAATATCACCGATCTGGAGTCAGATGTCACAGCTGCTCGCCTGCACAAGAGCTGTATTCTTAAAAATATAGATACTGACTCTGGATCAGTGATTCAATACAGTCTTAATATCATAGACTGTATATGCTATGTACGTCATGGTCATACTCAATGGTAGAGATGTTCTTCAATCTTCCACCTTTTAAAAGAAATTACAGTATTATAAGTTACATGTGTAGTTTATATCAAAGTAAATAATACATTATGTATTAAGTAAGTACTTAACTTGTGGTTTATGTTATATACAATGCAATATATAATACGTTAGTTAGTTAGTTAGTTAGTTATTTAGTCACTAATAGTTTATTATTTGTCCATATCCTTTATTATTCTTTTATATTTTCATCGTATCATCTTATTGTAAATATCATACTATATATTTATGACTACTTGATGTGCAGTTCTTGCTCTATCTTTATCTTTCTTATATTTTCTACCTGCTATGTATAGACCTCCTTGGCAATAAAGCTGATTCAGATTCTAATACTTACTTAAAAGGTAATATATATATAGTTGTTAATAAAAATCCATCAATTAGGCCTGAAGTTCAGAGGCAGCGGAGCCAATCAATGACACTATAGTACCAGAAGAAGAAGTAATTTAGAAAGCTGTTTCTCTTGTTATTCTTTTATGTTACTATTTTTGGAACATGTAAACTCCACACAGAAAGGCCACTGGACCACAGTGCCTTCATTATAAGCATAGTGGTCAATTATTGCAAATCAGCTGCCCTAGCGGATTTGGTCAGGCTCCCTTGAACCTCCCCACGACTCCTGGCCCTGACTAACCCTGTGACATCACTCATCACACTGGGTCAGTTTTATTTATTGTACACACTATGGTCTACTCTAATGGTTATTATGGTGCAATAAAAACATA